GATAACCAGAGTTGTACTCCACATAGATAGATAATCTTCAAATACTTCAAAGAAAGACCTACAGAATATAGCATTTAAATGTTTTAATAATTTCGAACTCTGTTGATGTGAGACATGATTGCTCCTGGCAGCAATGAGCTATTCCCAGGAGAATGATAGGCACCAGAGACACTCCATATGAAGCTTGTTTTCTTCTTGGCAAAGTTGACCTTTTGGGCAAAGAACTGCCCTTGCTGATGACAGTAAGTGCAATGTCCAAACTGGACAAGCAGGTTACAAGAAAAAAGTGACTGCTGCACCTTGCCAAGACAAGTTCGTCTTCCAAACTTTCCTGCTTCTGATATGGTCTGTTAGATATTCTAGACCTATAGCCAAAGCTGGTTGCCCCAACATTCCAGAGAGACTTTGGGTGACAGGCCACCTTGGGAAGCTCTTTTGAGCAAACCTGGGTTCTGTTGTTTGAATCTTGTGGTAGCAAACAGGAAAGGGAAATAAGGAACTTAGAAAAACAAGAATGTAGCGGAACCCCTTTTAGTTTGCTTAACTGTGAAAAATATTAAATCTATACTATTTTGGTGTCCCCCTAGAGAGAGTTCAAGCTGACTAGTCTTTTGTAAACTAAGGGTAACTGTTATGGTTAGTTTTCATTGTCAAACTGAAAAGATCTAGAATCACCTGGAATAAGACTCAGTTACTAATTATCTTAATTGTGTCAGTTGACCTTGCAGGACATACTCATTATGGGCAGCTACCATTCCCTAGGCAGCGCTATCCTGGCTCCCGGCTATCAATGTGATGTGTGACTAATTACTTCAAGTTCCTGCTGCCTTGAACTTCCCAAAACAGGAGAGATTGTGACCTGGGATTGTGAGCCAAATAAGTCAATTTTGTATTTTATCTCAGCAATGGCCAACAAAACTAAGACAGTAAGGCTGGCATGAAGGTGCAAGCTGTTAGTCCCAGCATTTGGGAGGCAGAGTCAGCCAGATCTCTATGACTTCAAGGCCAGCCTAGTCTACATGGATGCCTTAATAACTAACCACTTGTAGTGGCTGTTTATGCATCTGTGTTGGTTTCTTCCTCCAGCAAGTCCTCTTTGAATTCTATGGCTTCTTTAATCCTTTGTAGTCATTCGGCAACCTACATTTACAAACCAACAACAGCAAAGTGAGCTAAATGGAAAGACAGAAAGTTCGGGGATACGGGAAGAAAAATGAGCCCCTTGTCCAGAATCTAGTTGCAGCCTCTCACTAGCTGAGAATTTAGATTTCATCATTAAAAAAAAAAAAAATTAACTGTGAGGAATGCCTACAGAGTCAATTAGAGACAGGGCTCCACTCTGTAATCCAGCTTAACCTAAAATTCATGGTAGTCTTCCTGCTCCAGCCACCAAAATACTGGTTGCAGGAATAAGCCACCATGCCCAGCTAGAATTCTTTTTTATAAACATAGTTCAAATAAGAATGTTAAAATATCAGTAACCCATGGTTACATTCATATATATATATATGTATATGTATGTATATATATGTATATGTATATGCATATATACATAAACATATATATATATCTTTTAATTTAGCCTTATTCCTTTCTGGTCCACAGGCCTGTAATTTCCTAAGAATCATGAAAACAAGATAATCGGCCTTGTTCACAGTCAAAGCATAATTTGACTTCCTTTTGTAACCTAATAAACCAAGGGTTCATCTGACATTTTGATCTGGTATTATTATTATTATTATTATTATTACTTGAATTTGCAAGACAGGGTTTCTCTGTGTAGTCCTGGCTGTCCTGGAACTCACTCTGTAGACTATGGTGTGCCTCCGGGTGCTGGGATTAAGAACATCTGCCACCGTGGCCAGTTCCATTTTTTATCTTAGCCACCTGTAACTGCCCTGTGCACTGAGGAAACCACCCTATGATCTCATTCAGTAAATCCCTTAGATCAACATAAGCAAACTGAAGCGGTGATGTTTCATCTCTAAAACCTTTGGCCATCGTGACTGTAGAAACCACTAGATCCATACATATGCTTATCCTTAGCTTTTGCTGAGAAGTCCATGCTGCTCCGGGATGCTCAAGGTCAGAGGTCAATATGGGCATCCTCCAGCCCTAGCCCTCTCTGCCTTGTTCTCGTGAGATGGGGTTTCTCTCAAAACAAGCTTGTTGGCTTTCTGGCAAGGCTGCCTGGCTAGCCAGCAAGCCCAAGAGATCCTCCTGTCTCCCCTTACCCAGAGCTGGCATTACAAGTCTGTGCCACTTTGCCTACTTTTTAGGTGAGTGCTGGAGATTCTCTTACATAGAAAATGCTTACCGACTGAGCCATTGCCTGGGCTCCAGATTCTTGTGTAAGAAATTCTAACTTTGTGTTGTACTGATTCGTCCTGAAAGTCTATTCTGTGGTATAATAATTACAGCATTCCTAGAATCTGGGAGACAGAGGCTGGCAGATTTCTGTGAGTTCAAAGCCAGCCTGGTCTATATAGTGAGTTCTAGGCTAGCCATGGCTATATAATAAGACCTGGTCTCCAAATAAATAAACAATAACACCCAGCATCTCTGGGTGCAGTGTCGCACACCTGCAGTCCCAGCACTTGGGAGGGAAAGACAGGAGAAGTAGAAGTTCAAAGTCACTCTTAATATGTAGTGAGTCCCAGACTAGCCTGGGCTACAGAAGACCCTGTCTCAAAACAAAATAGCCAAAGAGCCCCAGGGCATTTGATTGGAGGTTGCTAGAGGGAACTCAGACCTGCAACAAACACACTTCTCTCCATTGCAGAGGGCTCACTCCAGTCCACATCAGCGGCTAAGATGCCGAACCTGAGAGCATGCCTGTGCACACAAAATCTCCAGACAGGTAACCATTTGTCACCGGTGGACGCTGACACTGGAGTGGGAGCTAGGCGTGGCGGCGCACACCTTTAATCCCAGCTTTCAGGAGGCAGAAGTAGACTGATCTTTGTGAGTTTGAGGCCAGCCTGGTCTAGTTAATGAGGCCCGGGTTCCCTAAGGAGGAAAACAGATGAAATGGAGAAGAAGCAAAAGGAATCTGGGGAGGAGACTGTCCCTGTACAGCTGGGTTATCCCGGCCTGCTCGTTTCCTTGCCCCTTTTCCTATCACTTTCGAAATACACAAACTGGTTGCACTTTCGTAGGGAAACAAACTTTTACTTAACTGTGAAGACACTGAGCACCCTCAGCTGCCCCTTAGCCCCTCATCAGCCAGAGGCCCCTTCTGACATACGAAGACCTTGGTGGTCCTGCCTGGGAGATGCAGCCAGAGGGGGGAGTAAGTAGGCGGTGGTGACTCGGGCTGTAGTCTCAGGGACAGGGGCAATGGTATAGCGCCCATGAGGTCATAGGCATTGGATTTCTCCAGCATGTGATGGCACTAGGAGTGTCTGGGAAACCTATTAGGATGCTGCCTGGACTCAGGGCCCCGTGTAAGCATCTGGGTTGCACACTTACATAGAACTGTCTTTTTTTTTGAGGGTGCAGGCTCTTGGTTTTATCTGTCAACCTGAAGTAACTTGCTGCTTTGAGAGTGCACGGAGGACATTGTTTACTGTGGTCAGCTCTGTACTCTGGCTGCTGGCCATTCTTCCAGGCCCACTGTGTCCCTTCTCACTTCCTGAATGCCTGTGAGAATTTAGAAGTTCTGTCTGTAGAACAGCTGGGCCCCATACCCCGGTCAGTCTGGTCCCTCCTGCCCATCCCCCCTCCCCCTCCCCCCCAGCTGCAGTCTCCAAGAGTTGCAATCTGCTTCCTTTTCTCCTCCATGTAGCTGGGGCCACCACATCCCACTACCCACCAATCACCTTCTTTAGGGCTTGGTCACCATGCACCTGGAAACTGTGAGGCCTCTTCATCCTGTCCAGAGATCTCTGTTGGTCCCAGTGCAGCATGTCATCTAAGAGTCCAACGTGGGAAAGGAACTGGCCTGCTGCATAGCCTCTCTAGGGATCTTCACCCACGGAGACCGCATCTCCGGGCTCCCTCTCTGTATCTCCACAAGGCCACAAACGTCCTACAGAATTACTGTGGGGCCTCAGGTCTTGCCCTACCTTGTACCCACACAGGCATAGAGCTTCTAAACGTAGGTCTCATCACATCTCACAAGCCACACCAGATGTAAACAACCCCTCTTCAGGGCCACCTACAAGCGTATCTTCACCAGGGTCCCCCCATTACACCCATGGCCACAGGCTCATCCACTGTCCACGAGAAAGTTCACAGTGCAGATACTAGGCTGACCTAGAAGCACTACTAAGCCGCAAGGAGCCTGGAGCTGAGCATGGAGCTGGCTCAAGACTGGGTCCCCAGCAGCCCTTCCCTCCAGTAGCTGCCGTGGAGAGCAGTCTGTTTCTCACTGTGAGGCTTCTCAGATGTGGTCTTCATGGCAGACTGCAAGCCTCTTTGCAAGGAGCAAGTGTCACATGCCTGCAAACTCCTTGAATCTGGGACCTTTTTCTTCCGTTTGTCTATGAGGTGTAGGTCCCTGGTGCGGGTCAGCAGGGCAGACTCCCTCTGCCCTGCTGCTTTGCCCTGTGGTTGACAAAGGATGTCGGCCCTGGAACTCTCCTGCTGCCCATTCTATCTTACCCTGCATTTTGTTTCTGCCACACACCCCAAGGCTGTCCAGACAGATCAAACTGAGGCACCTTCAGCCTTGATCCCTGCAGAAAAGCAAACCCACACAGCTCCCCAAAGGACAGACCCTGAGCCCTGATGCAAACACCAGCTGCAGCCAGGGCTTTCCTAGAAAAATCCTGGACCCTCCTCCAGTGTTCCTGCCATAATGCAGGCTTTCTATTTAAAACATACTAAAGATAGGAAGACTAAGAAACTCATGGCACTTTTATGTTAGCCCAGAGTATTTCCTGAAAATCAAGCAGCTTCCGATGCAGTGCTTGGCAAGGAACTGGACAAACTGCCTCCTCCAGCCCCTCCCTCTAGGCTTTTAGTTTCCCACTGAGTTGGCCAAATTCAGACATCTAGAAGCAGCTGAGGCGGAAACACCAGTAACAGGAGAGCAGGAGTAGGTGAGGCGCTGGGGTGTGCTGGGGGCAAGGATTTGGGGTGTCTGTCTGGGTGTGCTCTGAGGGTTGAGGGTTCTGTGGACTGGGAAAGACTGCCTCAGAAAAGGGATGAGCCAAGGCAGAGGTGGGCCACCAGTCAGGCTGTTGAGATTCAGGAAGCACAGGAGATAAGGGTCAGGGCAGGGCTGCGTTCAACATTCGTCCAGCATTCTGAAGGACCTGTGTGTCTTCAGGTGCCTTGGGCTTGGCTCTGGGAGAGTAGAGGCAGTTAGTAATTCTTCAGTTTCTGCTCAGTGGGACAAGTAGGATGGAGCTCTCCTCTCTGCCCTCTGAACAGGCATGGGAGAAGATTTAGAGGCTGGGAGGACAGAATGACAGACACTATGCTCCAGGCCTGTGAATAAGAAAAAAGTGCACTCATCCAGTAGCACAGATCCCTGCATAGTCTCATCGCCCACAGGTGTGTGCACACACTTTTACATAAGATCCTGAGGCTTTGCCCTTGCTCATAACTGCACCGCAAACACTCGCACTTACTCACGTGCACACATAACACATTCAGACCAGACACCAGGGTGCTCAGCATCTCCCCCCTTTCATTATTTCCTCTGAGGACAGCACTCTCTCAAACTGCCTTCAAGTTAATATTTGCAGTTTGGAAACCACATTGTCTGTCTTGGGTATAGGGGTTCCAGGCAAGAAGTCAAGGCTGATCCTGATTCCCTCCGGGCAGCTATTCTGTGTCTTGGGAAGGTGAGGTCCCAAAAGTACCGGGGTCCTTGCAGGGAGGGGGCCATCAGCTCCCAGCAAGGGTGGAGACCTTCTGTGTCAGCTGCCTTTCCTAGCCACACGCCAGTGAATACAAACTTTGTGGGGCTTAGCAGCGAGTGGACACTGTCATCCTTCAGGCAATATCCGAGCCAGGAACCTCTATGCTTCTCACTGAGCTGGTTGCTGTACTGTAGAAGGCCTCATGTCCTGGAGGGAGACACTCACTGGATCTATGACACTGACTCTCCTGGGCCTTCACTTCTCCCAAGGGACTGAAACGGATCTGTGGGATTGGTGTCTATCAATGTCTGGCCCTAGGGTTTGTGTCCTTAAGTTCTTCTAGGGCAAGAGAGACCTGGCTTACCCTCCTCCTGCTAAGCCTGGAAGTGGGTGGGGGAGCTGGGGTGCACCCCTATCTCTGAAAGGACATCTTCAGCCAATGAAGAGCTTGTGCCTCAGGAGACAAAAGTCTACTGATGGTCAAGAGCAAAGGTGTTGTCTCTGAGGTCAGGAATTCTGCAGTGGCCTCCAGAATGGATCCATAGTAGCACAGGCCACCACAGGACAGACCTCTATGACAAGACAGTGACCTTGGCCACCCTGGAAGGTTGCTTTACATGAGCCTGCAAAGGCCCCAGGGTAGAACGTACAGTGGTACTGAGCCTGGGTGGTGTGCTCTACACATCATGACTTAACAAAACACCTACAACCAAGGCGACCCGGTGCTGTTGTTCCGTGACCCACTGCCACCTACAGCCCTGAGATGTCATCTCCTGAAGAAGAGACAAGTGACAAACTAGTGGTCTGCCTAGTTTTCCTCTGGTAAGATAGGCAAGGCAGACTGGGGTTAATATGAGATGAGGCCTCCATATACAGCCCAGTTTTGGGGTGGTACAGCACCCCACATGGGGCCCACTCTTCATCAACAGCAATCCTGAGAGAGGAAGAGAGGCCTGGAGACTCAGCAAGCCCACAGCATGTTCAGCAAGGTCGCTCCAGAGGTTGTGTTCTGGCAGGAAAAACTTTAGAGAAAGTGTTCCAAAGCACCTGCCTCAGTACTAGGCCGATCTTGTCAGTGGTAGAAAAGCCCCCTTGAGAGCGTTGCCACACCTTTCTAGAAGTTGCCACCCGTTCAGGTTCCCAGCAACCCAGAATGCTGGAAAACTGGTTGTGTGAACCCTGATGATGGGCAGGGGTGGGAAGCACTAAAATGCACAGGCTGCATTTGTAGGGTGCAAAGTAGGTCCTGGCAAACTCCTGGTTCCAAGGAAATAAGGTGCAGGGTTAAGTCACCGTTCTGCCTGGGAAACAGATCCAGAGGAAGATAGGTTCTAAGGAAGGAAGGTTGCTTAGCCAGGTGTAAAGTCAGGTGTCAAAGCTGCTTGCTGAAACCTGCAAAGCAAAAGGAGGGTGCCCAAGTTAGGGCTGCAAGTGCTTGAGCATCAGGACTCTTGGTGTAGTGGATAGCCAGTCCTGCTTAGCCAGTGTCTCACGACATAGTCACAGTTTTCAATATGGCTTCCAGGAAGACTTGAGAGCTTGGCAAATATGTGTGTGTGTGTGGGGGGGTGCATTTGTACATACTTGTGGAAGGTGTGATTCCTGCAGCACTGTCCACTTTGCTTTTTTGAGATATGGTCTGTCATTGGCCTGGAGCAGGTAGGCTAGGCTGGCTGCCCAGCAAGCCCCAAGGGTCTTCCTATTTCCACTCCCCCAGTGGCAAGGTATGTGCCACCATGTCTGACTTTTTCTTTTGTTAATCAAAAGGTTTTAAGTATATGTGCATTTATGTCTGGAGATATAATCAAGTGCCTGGGTCCTTCGAGGCCAGAAGAGGCCATCGGATCTCCTGGGACTAGAGTTACAGACTATCATAGGTCAGCATATGGGGCTGGGAATCAAATTGTGATCCTCTGGAAGAACAGCATGTGTTCTTACCTGCCGAGTCATTAGTATGGCCCTCATACTTGACTCTTTGTTGTTGTTGCTTTGGTTTGGTTTGGTTTTTGGCACAGGATTCCTGTGTCCTGGAACTGGCTCTGTAAACCAGGCTTGCCTCAAACTCACAGAGATCTGCCTGCCTCTGCCTCCTGAGTGCTGGAAGTAAAGGTGTGAGCCACCACTCCTGGCTCAATACCTGACATTTTAATGTATGTTCTAAGAGTCAAACCCAGCACTTTACCGACTAGGTTATCTCTTCAGCCTCTGATAAACGTTTTAAAAAGATGAGACACAAGAATTAGCCTTGTGTAAGGCAGGCAATGTATTTCTCTAAACACAAGTGCCTCATAAACCAATCAGAAGTCAGACGACCGCATGAGAAACTAACAATGGCTTAGCAAGAGCAGTGTGCAAAACAGAAACCCTCCCGGAGCAAGAAGAAGCCGTGGGAGATGAGCACTGGTTCCCAGTGCTGTGAGTCCACAGACGGGTGAGCGACAGGGAGCTGTGGTCAGTAGAATGGACAGAGTCCAGTAAGGAGGGCATCTGGGGCAGGGGATTCTAAAACCCTTCTTGCCTGTCTGGGATTTGTGTGTGATGACACCAGCTGGGTAAAGCCTGAATTCTTGGTCACTAGAGAGAGGGTGTAGGCATTAAGGAGAGGCTAAGGTAAGACCAAAGCCAGAGCCTTACACCTGCGAGACAAATACTCTACCACTAAGTTAAATCCCCAACTCCAGGGCAAGGTCCTGGTGTTCAGGTAACCACAAATAGCACAGCTCACAACTGCAGGAATTTATTTTCTCTCAGTCCTGGATGCCAGAAACGGAGGCCATGGCCGTGCACCACAATGCACAGGCTCAGGTAGGGTCTATTTTTGTCCGGAGGCTCCAGGAGATTAGGAGTTGTGGCTGAGGGCACCAGTCTCCTACCTCAGTGTCAGATGGCTGACATCTCTGTGCCTATGTGCCAAATTCCTCCTTCTCAGATATCAACCCTATTGGGTACAGCTCACCAGATCCAGTATAGCCTGGTGATGAGAGGCTACATTGTATTACCTTAATTCCAAATATGGTTGGCCACAGTCATTTAGTGGATAAGTGTCTTGAGGGACAGATGTTACAACTGGGAGCGGCAGAGGAGAGGGGGAGGTGTCCTAACTAAGCTTCATGGGAAAACGACCTCACTTGTGCGTGTGTGCACATACGTACCCAGGACATGCAGGAAAAGACGGTTTTACAGGCTTCTTTATGGCTGCTCTCAGCTTGCGTCCATCTGGCAGTCTCTATCATATACTTTTCCTTATTTCTTTCTTTGGGGGAGGAGCGGTAGGGTAAGGCAGAGTCTCGAGCCTGGCCTCAATCACATAGAAACCTTCCTGCCTGCCCCTCCCAGTGTGGGAAGAACAGGCGTGAGTCACCATGACAAGCTCTCATCATACTTCTCTGTCCCCAGTTGTTCTTAAAGGAGCATGGGAGAAATATAGCGATTTACGCAAACTACCCTTCTTGCAACAATAAATTAGAAATAGAAAAAGGTAGAAAAAGGGTCCAGTGTGATGGCACATACTTCTAACCCCAACATTCAGGAGGTTGAGGAGACCGGAGGACCTCAAGTTCAAGACCATACAGGACTATATAGAAAGACCCTATCTCTAAAAAAAGAAAAGAAAAGGTTACTGTTGGTTTGGTTTGGTTTTTTTCTGAGACAGGGTTTCACGAATACCAGGCTGGTCTTGAATTTGCTGTGCAATGGGGATTAACCTTGATCTTTGGATCTTCATTTTTCTGCCTCCCACAGACTAAGATAACAGGCAGGCAACATTATGCTTGTCTGGAAAAGTTTTTAAAAATAAGATTTAAAAAAAAAAAAGCAACATCAACTTCCATAAGGTCAAAGGTACTCCAACCACAGTCCTGGAACCTCATAATACAGACCCGAATTGAAGTGTCACTTGAACTTGGCTGTTGGAGGGAGAGCACCTTTGCCTTGCCAGGAGTCTGCCTCCATGGGGCTGAGGACAGGTAGCAGGTGAAGCAGCAGCAGCAATGTGAGTATGGGGTGGAGGTGGAAGTTGGTGCTGAGACAGGGCAGCGCAGCAATTTGAGAGTCTGGGGTTGCACTCACATAGCCCAAGACAGGGTGCTGCGCCTCTGGATGGTTTGTTTAACTGTGAAGGGATCCAGTGCAAATGATGGGCACTAGGCCATCCTGTAAGTCTGTTACTGTGACTGAGTGCCTGCTGATGTGAGGTACTAGCGAAAAGGAGCTGGGTATGGTGGCATGCGCCTTTTATCCCAGCACTCCAGAGGTAGGGGCAGGTAGACCTCTGTGATTTGAGGCCAGAGGAGGTTACAAAGCGAGTCCCAGGCCAGGCAGAGCTCCACATTAACACCCAAATGAGGGAGAGAAAGAAGAGGAGAAAGAAGTCGTCAACAAGGAAAATTCTGAGCTGAGTCAAGCAGGGGTATATGGCAATCCTTCATGCTTTCTGGTCAATACTTCTATCTGTAAATCGCTCAGCTATGGTGGTACCTGCCTGAGGTTGAGGCAAGGAGATACAAATTTAAGGTCACTGGGAGCTACTTAGCAAGATACTGTCTAAATAAACAAACAATGCAAGTGACTTAAAATGTTTCTCTGCCATGACTCCATTCCCATAAACAGTGCTAGCAGGTGCAAGCCCAGTGGAAAGCTCTACAGAACTGTCAGAATGCTCCTAGCTTCATGCACGTTTACCACAGCCTGTGACAACTCACCAAATATTGATGGTTCAGAATCCCGTAGAAGCAGCTCAGGTCATCAGGCAGAGCTGTTCAACAACTCAGGGACCCTGGGCTGTCTGTACACCCCTGGCCCAGCTAGAACTGCTTCCGTTCTGCGGGAGCCTCAATGGGCCTCTGACCTCTGTACTTTCCTCCTTCTAGGTAGTGTTCCCAGACATCTGGAAATGACAAGGGCCTCTCAAGGCCTCCCGGTCCACCACCTGGCCATGAAGACCTGCCCTTCAGTGTTCACTGCCCACATTCCCAGAGCGTTCAGCCTCCTGCTCCTGGTTGCTTCACTGAACGCTCAGAATGAAAGTAGGTCTGAGTCTCCTGCTAGAGAGAGGGATACAAGGGTTCAGCAGGATGGGAACCACAGACCAGGGTTAGATCCAGGTGATGGCTATCGCCCAGCCGACTCAGCACTGCAGACTGGCAGGAGGAGGGCTGTGCCCCTGGGCTACAGAAGTGTGGACCATGTACATCTGAGGATGGCTCACAACAGAGGGCCAGTGACAGTTGGAGCCGGTGGCAGAACAGTGTTGGGGCTGCCCAAAACTACACCCAGGTTGCAAGGGAAAGAGGGTGCCCTGGCCAAGCAATGGGGACACCACATAACTGAGGACCTGCTTAAATCCTCTGGATACGTCCAGCCTTGTCCAGTAACCTAGGCATTATCTGGACAGTAGGCACTCAGGCCAGCAGACACTAAGGGCAATCAGAGTGGGTGTAGGTGTAGAAAACGAGGCTCAGAGAGTCCCCCCAACACAACTGTCTAGACGCATCATCACCAGATAGATAGTGAAATCAGGCCTTGACATCTGCCTCTCTGCCCATGACCTACAAGAGCGGCCAGAAACTGTCCTGCACCTCTGCCTTGCCCATACGTGATCATCCTCTCCATACAGGCTGGGACAGTCCTCTGTGCAACGAGGGCACATTGTCTGTGCCTAGAGGCAGTCGTGCCGTGATGACGTGCAACATCTCTAACGCCTTCACTGATGTCACCGTCTGGCTGAAGGACAGGGTGATCTTCTACGAGGTGTCCCAAGGAAACTTCAACTTCAGTGGATGGGAGCTCCAAGTTCAAGGGGGCCAGGCACGGCTCATGATTGAAAACACCCAGGAAGTCCACACAGGGCTGTACTTTTGGCAGCTGCATGGACGCCAGAGACATTTCAGTAACTTCACCCTGAATGTTTCAGGTGAGGTTGGGGACTGTGGGGTAAGGAGGGGAGAGGGGATAAGTGCCAGTATGTCGAGTGTGGCGGAGTATGGGGACTTGGGGGACAGGAAGGAGGGCAGAGGGGAAAGCAAAGATTTGGGTCTTTTAGAGGAACTTAATCTGTCTGAGATGTAGACAGGGGCTCCATCGTTCAGGGCAGAAGCCCATCTGAGACGAGCTGGAAGCAGCTGATGCCAATCAATATACCTCTTTCCCCAACACTGACAAACCTCTTACACATCAGCTGTGCGGGGGCGGGGGATTGCGCCCCAACCTCTGCGCTCTGGAAGTTACCAGAAGAACCCAGCCACTGTCTGTTCTAGGACACTCATGTCATAGCTACTATTGAGAGGTCCATAGCCATTGTCACCTTAACTGAGGGTGTGCTCAGCCTTGGTGACCACAGAGTGAGGCCCTAGTTCCAGGAGTATCCATCCACACTGTCATGTCCCTGTCCCCCTCCCCACAGCTTCCACCATGGAGGCTTGGCCCAGACTTTGTGCACCTTAAGGAGAGCAAATTCAGCCAGGTGTGATGTGATTCCGGCACTTGGGAGGCTGTGAGACAGGAGGATCATGAGTTCGAGGCCAGACCTTGTCTCAAGACAAGAACTACAAAGCAAAGACCACGCCCCATCCCATTCTCTGATAATTCTCCTCTCTGCACCTGGACCCTCTTCCCAGAACGCTCCTCACCTCTCAAGCCACGCTTCCTACCTGTTCTAGTTTAATTCTCTTGCTATGGCAAACTCCATGACCAAAAGCAACCAAGGGGAGGAAAGGGTTAATTTCAGCTTATGCACAATGTCCAACATTGGGGAAAAATCAGGGTAGGGTGCTGCTTGCTGGCTTGCTGTCTAATCAATGTCTTCCCACCTTCCTTCCTCCTCCCTCCTTCCCGTCTTTCTTCCCTCTTCTCTCTCTCTCTCTCTCTCTCTCTCTCTCTCTCTCTCTCTCTCTCTAAAAACAGGGTCTCACTGTGTAACCCTGGATGGTCTGAAACTCACAGGAATCTTCCTGCCTCTGCCTCCTAAGTGCCGGAATTATAGGTGTGCACCACCATAGCTAGCTTTCTTATATAGATCAGGACCATGGGCCCAGGGAATGATGCCACCCACAGTGGGTGATCCCCCACAGACATGCCCACAGGTCAATCTGTTCCGGGCAATCCCTCAGCTGAGACTCCCTTCACAGGCGGCTCTAGGCTGTATCAAGTTGACAGCTAAGGCTAGCTAGAACACTATCCTAGCTACTTTTGTGATTCATTCACAAAGCAAAAGCAACTGCAGAAGACCCCTGCCCTATCCACATCCCTCTGAGTCGCCCCGTATCTCACTAGATAATGGCATACCCCCTGATGCCCATCCTCGCTGCACCTAGAAACTGATTCCTCCCAGTCTGAAACCCACTGACCACTCCATCTTTTCTGTATCCGTAAAAGCCCTAGTCTCCATGACTCTGCCACCCTCCCCACACCAGTTCAGTCTGTCATAATCACTGAGCCCCTGAAGGTGAGCCTGATGTTGGTTCCTCCTGGGACCAGCCAGGCCTACAGGACTACTGCCACTGGAATTGGGGGTGCAGTCACATAACACTCAACTGATGGTATGTCTCCAGCAGAGCCTTCAAACCAGGAGCCTACAGACGTACCTCCCTCAGGTAGGTGTCATAACCCTGTCCTGATGCCATGGAGCCAAGTGCTGGCCACTTGGGACCCTTCACCCTTAGCCCTTCCTGTACTGCCCACCAGGTGCCACTGCCCAGGAGGGTGTGGAGTCAGCAGGTAGCAAACAATGGGAAGATAGGACTGTGAACCAGTGAGGGACGATGTAGTAAAGGGCCAGTGTCGCAAACATCACCCCTGACTACTCCTGATCTGCTTCAGGTGCAGTCAAGCACTTTCAGAAAGAGGCCAGGCCTGACACCCTTGTGGGAGTTGTGGTCACTGTCGTCTTGGTCTTGGGACTCACAGGAATCGGCGCACTAATCTGCTACAGGCACCACCATTCTTCGATGTCCCAGTGGATAAGTGTCTCAATGCCTGTCTTGAGGTATGGGTGGGGTCTTCCTGGGATCCTTATATCATACCTCTTTGGGATGTCCCCTGAGTTCTGTTACAACAGGGGCTCAGGGGGGATTATGGAGGCCACACAGGACCAAGAAAGCAGGTCCCACTGCAAGAATGCTTTTAGTCTTCTACAGCCAAGAGCATAGGCCCTGAATTGAATCTGCAAGGATCATCTGTTCTCAAGGTTTTATTCTGACCCTTGGACTCCTTGAACAGCAGCATGGAGTCTATAGTCTTCAGGATCCTCTCGGGATTCTCGGGAACCTGAGTATAGGAGGGAACCTGTGGTTTCTGATCCAGGGTGTTTCAGACCAATGATGCTCTGGAAATAAGCACACCATGGACTTAGAACCCAGGTTCCACTAGGAGGAGGAGTGCAGAATGAGATGAGTGTTCTTAGCATAGGCGGCGGCATGACTGCTCACATATGCAGAGTATAAGGTAATGGTTCACTTATGCATGCCTGTGCCTACTCAGACACGGGTCTGAGTTCAGGCGTTCACCCTCCCTCTTTCCTTTCATCTCTTCCTGTCCAATTAAGGAGGTTCTAAGTCTGTGGACCAGTGGATGCTGGAGGATCTGCCTGCGGAACTGATTCCCAGAGAGAGGCCACCAGCATGGGCTTGTCATGTTCTTAGCCCTTGGCGGCTGCCATGACCATCTAAAAACCAAACACCATGGAGCCATTATTGCATGCTTGGCAGAGAAAAAGACCGTTCGTGTTTGCGGGGCGCAGGAGACTTTTCCCAGAGGGTGATGTAAACCTTGGTTCTATGCAGAGGAGAAGACAGTGACTCACTGAAGAAGGTCCTTGGAACCTGGAAAACAGTTTGGGCATCTCTCAGTCGCAAGAACAAGAGTACAGCCTCCGGACTACAGTCCTCAGTCATCTGATCTGTTCCTCAACTCTTTCCAAAATTGTGGAATTTCCCATTTGTGTGACCCTTGACCCTCAGCATCCCCACCTTCTGTCCTCTTACAGTGGCCTGGGCTCCTTTGCTTCTGCTGAGGCCCTGAGGTCAGTGTCTCTCCGATACCTGCTGTTCTCCAGAGCAAGCCTAGAGCTGCACCAAGATCTGTGTCAGTAGAATTTGGGCACATACCTGCTTTCCGACTCACAATAGTAACAAGTTTGGGAAACCCAGATGTCAGGTTCCAGGGGCCAATATAGGAGGATTAGAAGAGTATGAGATGAATCGTTCTGCCATTGGAAGGCAGAGTGCCCTCAGGACAGGGATCTATGGAAGGTGTGAGTGTTTGCTGACAGGTATTGCTCTCCTGGGGAAGACAGTCAGTTCTAGGAACCCCAAGGCCTCTCTTCAGCAGACTCCCCCAGCCCCAACTCCCTGATTCATATCCACAACCCTTTGTTCTTTTCTGACCTTTTGTCTTGGCTATAATGCTGCTTTTCCTTACATGTAGATTAAAAGAAGAGTTTTTCATAGAAATTCCGCACTTTATTATTATTAATAATTATTTTATTACCATTGTTGTTGTGTATGAGTGTGGGTATGGACATGCCAGGTTGCATATATAGAGGGCAGAGGGTAACTCTTGGGACTCAGCTCTTGCCATCACCATGTTTTGAGGCAGGATCGCTCTTGATTCTGTTATATATTCCAGCCTACCTAGCCCACAAGCATCCAGACAATCCTCTAGTCTCTACTGCCTACTTTGTCCTAAGAGATTGGGATTACAGAGACACACCATAGGTTCTAGGGATCGACCTCCCATCATCAGGCAAACACTTTTACCTTCTGAGCCCTTCCGTCGGCCGCTAGATAGGCCACACTCTAGAAAATCCTCCTAGATTTTAATTATTTAATTATTTAAATAAACAATAATCCAGTGAAGAGAGCGTCAGGTCAGCTGGGAAACACAACTGTTAGTCAAAAACTTAAAAATCTACAGGAAACCTCACACACCGACCAGTGCCTAAAGAAAAGCAGAGCCCAGGAATGCTGCCTGGTGCCTGTGGCCTCCAGCCCCAATCCCATCGTGTCTCTGAGGCTGCAGCCTGTCCCCAAGCGCTAAAGGACCTGTGCTTCTCAGAGCAAAGGGAAGTGACCCACAGTACTTCAATGCTGTCTTTGTTTGAGGTCACGTGTCAGTTACTTTCTTGTTGGAACAAAATTCCCCATGCAAGCGGCTTAGGGAAGTAAGGCTGATTTTGGCTCAGTTTGAGGATGCAGTCTATCATAGTGGCGAAGGCAGGGTAGCAGACAAGTGAATGTCATAGTGGGGAAGGCAGGGTCGAGCAACTGGATGTCTCTTTTCTGTTCAACCTGCATTTCCAACCCCGATTCAACCCAATTCTGTTCAACCTCAATTCAACCCAATTCTGTTCAACCTGCATGCCCACACCCTCCTCAGTTAAGCTTTCCTGGAAGCACTGTCAGACACATCTGGAGAGGTGTGATTCCACAGTGATTCTAAATGCAATCAGGTTGACGGTGAAGGATAAGGATCACAGGCAGGTCCTGTCGCGGCCCATCAGCTCCCCAGGTCCCTCTTACACTGGACAACGGCCCAGGGCCCCATGTGTCTTAGCCTCTGAAACACATCACGTGTTTCCTAAACCAGCAAACAGTGCTGATTCATGAAGTTCCATTAAAAGTCAGTTCTGGACGTCTACAGAGAAGGGAAAACTTCAAAGTCCATGAAATCCCTCTGCCCCTGCAGCTCCTGGAAGCCTAGGGGGAAACTGAGTCAGGGGCTTCAACTCTGCTCCCTTGGCCATGGCTTCTGTCTTTTCGGGTTTTATCTTCTGGGGATTGCATGAGTGCCAGTCAAAAAGTGCTCCCCTACCATGGTTCTCTCTGCCATCAAAGCATCAAAGCCAAAGAGAAAAGTCCTTCGGGGCATAGAATTCTTATGGGGACCTTCAAAGGCCGCCTGGCCAGATGCTGCCTGCAAACAGGTTTGTCCTCATAGAGTGGGAAGCTAGGACACAAAAAAACTCATCTGCACCTACGCTGTACCTCAAACTCACCAACAACACAGGGAACAACTGTGTCACTCAGGCAGGAATACGCTCTGGGCCATGCATCCCTGTACGATGGTGTACTTGCATTGTCTCTCCATGTGCACATGAGATCACCCCACACGGTGACACACACTGATTCTGATATTAGCGAGAGAGCTTACAGGAGACTCCTGGGAAGTACACGCTTCCTTCTGATGTCCTGGGAGATCAGGGCCAGCAGAGCCTTCGACCTTGGGTCTGGACACAGGCCTGCCGCTCTCTTCCTAGAAGGGCTACTCTTGTGGTGTCTCCTGGCTACCTGTTGGTCCCAACTAGCTGCCTCTGCTGTGCCTCTGGGGCAGTCACAGCCTGGGGCCACTTCTTCATGGCCAGAGCCTTCAGTCAGACCAGTCTTTTAGTTCAGATGATAGTGCAGAGGTAGGCACATAAGTCAGACTCCAGAGGGAAATGCCCCTGGAGACCAAGCTCCTGACAGTGGGACCCCTCCCTCCACTCTGTGTGCCCACCTTTCCTCCTGCTCCATTCCCAAGGCTTCACTAACACACCACCCACTCTGCTTCCCTTACCCCCTCACTCATGGCTCAAGTCAGACCGAATAGTGTAGTGAGTATCCCATGCCACTGACCACCTAGACACGGAGACATCTGTAGAACTCAGTGTCCCAAGAAGAGAACACACAAAGGCATGAGCCGTATCTACAGATGACCCCGTGTGACCATGGAGCCATGAATGCAGGCCCAACAAACATGAAGGACAAAGCTGTGGATTGGAGAGATTGCCTCAGTTGGCAAAGAAAAAGCTGAGTGTGCTGTGCACAGTTGTAATCCCAGCACTGAGAAGGCAGAGATAGGAGGATCCCTGGGGCTCACTGGCCAGCCAGTCTAACTCATTTGGTGAAATCCAGGCCAATGAGAGACCCTGTTTCAAAAATGTGGACAGTGCCTAAGAGAGGGCACTTGAAGTTGTCTTCTGTCTGTCCGTCCGTTCGTCTGTCTGTCTCTCCCTCTCTCTCTCTCTCTCTCTCTCTCTCTCTCTCTCTCTCTCTCTCTCTCTCTCTCTCACACACACACACACACACTCACACAATTAAAGATAAGATTAAGCCACAGGGACAACAGGAGATAAACACCTACCACGTACTCCTGAATTCTTAGCAGATCCTGCTGAAGAAACTGAGAATCATCTCGGAGCATAAGTCTCTGAAAACCCCATGGATGACAGACAGGAAATGCCACAGACCCTGGCAGAGGAGGCTCTGATCAGGGGACATGCCGAGGTGACTCCTAGGTAGGAGGTAGGACACAAGTAGCTGTGTCTATCTGTAAGACACAGGAGGACTTCACACACACTGGAGGAGATATGCCTGACCAAAGTGTATTTGTGCACACAGAAACTCCAGAAGGCTAAGTACACATCACCTGTGGACATTGACATTAAGTTATGACTGTCGCAGGGGGAAACTTGGGATATTCTTGTCCTCGTCTTGTAGTTTCAAAACAAATAAACTAGTTTCACTTCCGCATGAAAGGCACTTTTGACAGTGGGGTGAGACACAGGAAATCTTCAGCTGCCCTTCAAGACTCCTGACCACAGGGGGTTCTTGCTCCACCATACCAAGAACCCCTACCTCTGGTCTGTCAGCCAAAGCCCTGCCAGGACAGATAATGAGATCATGGTTATTTGACCCTCTCTGCAGCATCTGGGGATCCTGTCAGTGTGGGATCCATGGACTATGTCCAGTGTGAAGCACTAAGTTCTTGCCTTCAGTAGCTCAATTTTAAATTTCCTGCCTTTCCCTGTGTGCTTGCCCAGAGTGGCCAGGCCTGTGCTGTCCCATGCAGAGAAACATATGCACCCAGTTTTCCTAAAGGAGCAGCCCCAGAGGCCCGAATCAAACATTGGCCCCAGCCACGACTCTTCTAGAAAAAGCGTGGACCCTCCTTCTGTGATCCTAAGATGAGTGGCTAATGCAGGACTTCTGGTTAAAATGCATTAAAAGGGAATTGCTAAGAAACGTCTGTTGTGTGGACTCAGGGTACTTACTGAAAGACACACGCTATCCAGACCTTGTTTTCTTCCTAGGTGAGGCCAAACCCAGGATATGAATAGGCGGTACTTGGAACGCCTTCTCTCAGATTCCCGCTCTGGGCTGGATGAGATCATTGGTGGCAGAAGCAGAGTTCAGTCAGAGAAGCAGGTTAAGAAGCCAGAGCATGTATACAGGTGAGAACAGGAGGGGACTGTGGTGCCCAGAAGGTTTGGGGTTCCAGGCAGGGTGTCCTTGGCCACATTCTCTCTGGGACTCTCACTTCATTGCCTGCCTCTTGCCTCAAGGATTTGTCCACAGTAAAGGTGAGGCTGAGGTACTGGCCTGGTGCCTTGGATGCTGGGAACAGAGGAGATCTGTCTCTTCGGGGGCATCACACTGAGCTCCAGGAGGGGCAGAGGCAGCAGCTGGGTTCTTCAGTGTGTACTGAAAGGGAAGAGGAGAATGATGACCTCGCTCTTCCTTGTCATTTGACTACAGGAATGGGAAGCCAGGGCATGCAGTTGCCCAGGCCTGTGGAAGAGGGACCTGGTGCACACCGGGAGTGGGGGCTGTAATTGGTATTAGTGAACTTCTGCCACTGGCCACTCAGAATTGGTAATCTATGTCGTGTTTGGTCAGGACACTATGGTTTTGTTCTCATCTTAATGTAAGTAGAAGCTGACTTCTGGTTGTGAGGGCTGAAGGTTCCTATTGTGGCTTTCTTTCTACTCCTACCTTCTTGAGGCTCCGTGAACGTAACTTCCAGCCTGATGCTGAGCTAAAGGCCGCTGTGCTGGATGAGACATGCTGCAAAGGAGGTCAGCTCTGCTCCTGACCTCTTCCTGGCTCAGCGCTTATATCCACTAGACACGGGTCAGTGCGACAGACCCGTCAGGAGATTCAGTGAGGTATTAATTGCAAAGGCATTGGGAAGGGGGTGTTAAAAAGGTGACACCCCGTGTTGTCTTGCTAGCCTCAGTCCTGAAACAGATTCTAGGGGTTCTAACATGTGGGTTCTGCTGCTCACCTCTAAGAAAACAAACAAAAATACAGGAAGGGAATTTAACCAACATCCTTGGGCAAGGATGGCATCAAAGACTGTCAACCCATCTTTAAGGTGACAGCATGAGCTTTGGGCTTAAACAGAGGAAGAGGAAGGATCTACATAATTAAAGAGCCCTGGTCACGGTGTGGTCTGGTTGGTCGCTGTCTCGGTTCTGATTGAGTAGGGTGTTGCCAAGAATCCTTGTTGCTTGAGATATAATGGGGTTCTAAAGAAGTGAGTGCTATTTTGAAACCCTAGGCCACTGCTCTTTAAGAACAATAGCTGGACACTTTTCATGCACCTTTGTGGGCAAGAACAGGCAGATGTCTCAGTGTCTCTCGGTCTTTGTTTCTCCGGCCGTGATGGGTTTAGATTTAGGGATGCTCCCATGAGTAACTGCCATACCTATGTGCAGAGTTGAACAGGAAATTGGAGAGTAAAGGAGACAGCTGCAAAGGAGGCAGATGCCAGGCTCACCCTGCTTCTGGTTA